TTACTTCCATTATTCTTGTAACACACTTAGAATAGGAACCACAAGAACAAATCAACTTTACTACTGCCTGCTTTCTTATATATGCCCAGTTAATGCTCTTCATACTTATATCCTCGTCTCCCATTGATACCAACAGAAGTGCATGAAAAAACACAGGCAAAAATTGAGAAAGATTTACTTGCAGAACTATGTATGTACAATATGTTTACACACATATACACACGTACACATCCATAGGTAAAAGGTGTTTTCACATTTCCTAAAATGATCAAATACCTTACTTAAAAATATTTAACTATTCAATATAACACTCAAAACCACTCTGCAAAACCACCAGACATGGTACTTTTACCATAACTTTGTAACACACTTTGTAACACATCCTTCTTGAAAGAATCAATTTACTATTCCTGTTAATGACTAAAAGCATGCTTGATGCATCAAGCATAGCCAAAAAGTCTACCAGCACTTAAATAACCCAGGACTGGATGAGTATTGATTATGCATATACTTAGATGGACTACTCCCTTTATTAAACGAACACATGGATCCAAAAAGATGAAAACCGTATCATTCAGAAAAGACTTGAAGTAACTTCTGACAGTATTTTATTACATACAGATGATTTTATATTAATCATCACGTCTTTAAACATTTACCTCCCTTTCATTCTGTGCATTTTCTCCTGTTTCATAGCATTACAATACAAAATTAGCAATCCCTATACAATCTAAGTACCTCTTATGCCCAGCACTTACCCTAATAGAATACTGGTTTACATTATTTTATCAAAATACTAGATTAAAAAATTCATTAGGAAATACATGTTTTGGAAGTAAAAGAGCATTTCTATTCCTACACCTTCACTACTAAAAGAATGTCCATTAAATTATATTTGAATTAGTTAAGCATATCATGCAGAAAAGTAAAACCCTAAAAATATAAGAACATTCCATACTCCTCAATTGCAATTTTCAAAGTGCTTGTTAGCCAATTCGAGCAAAAGCAAGCAAGAAAATGTTCTTTCTTAACCGAAAAGAACTTTGGAATTAAACTACAAGAGAAATGTAAGGATAGTGGCATGGTTTTTCACAGGATAGAGTGTAATACTCAACTTGCTCAGACCATACAGCATCAAGTTGCCCAAGCCAGCTGGTAGTGCACAGAAAGTCAGTGCTACAAATGACAAAAGCTACCCAGAGCATTATATTCAGACATTATGTTTGCTCCCTGGAGAAGCTCAAGGTATGAAAGGGTTTGTGCAATATTTTGTAATAAAAAGTAAAATCCAAGAGGAAAAAAAGGATCCCTTCCTGTTAAGCTCTCAACAAAATATGGCGTGAACCAAAGAAAAGCATGAATTCTTTTCTGATGAGATCTGTCTGCTTTCATAGCATATAAAAAACACTGTATATTCTGTAAGGCTGTATTCATTAATGTCCCTCACCAACTCAAAAGCCTGATTCAAGCACTGTCTTTTTGGCTTGGAAGTACTTTATACACATTTTGAAAGACTCTGAATGACGAAAGGCAACACAGGAAGCCCTTACTAGAGCCTACAGATTCTACTCGTAAGGAAATCAAGTCTATAGACTATATTAATAGCACCCTACTGTGCACAAAATCGCAATCCTGTAATAAAACTGATGATTGGAATCTTGTTCAATTTGCAGCAAAGAGGAATACTGACAGTGGTTCCAGCTGCACCATAACCACAGTCTGTGTTGCAGTAAAGAAATTGAGAATTTACATGGAACCATTTGATTTTTATATGTATTATTTGTATTTTTACTAGGGTTTTGGTTGCACTAGACCAAATGTGACCTCTAGCTTTGCTGCATGATTCTTTCAGACAAGAAAAAAGAAATTGGGACACACAGAGAAAGACAGGGCTTGTGTCTTGCCCCAGCCTGGATTAATACCTTCATGAATGAGTTTAAGTAATTTCCAGTAGTGGTTCTACAAATTAGGTAATTGCCCTGTAGTTTATTAGTTTCATATTTCAAAAATCCAAAATCAATTTTTAAGGGTATATCCAGCTTCACATTTATATAAATATGCATGTGAATAAGGAAATTTAGAAAAATTGATCTGGCCTCCAAAGCTTGTCTAATCTATGTTATTCACAACAGCATTCTTTTGTGAATTACTGATCATTTTATTATTCTGCTTTTAAATGCATGTAATACAGCTTACGGAAAGGAAACTGTAGATTTATCAGCACCCAGGACTACCAAACAAATGCCACTATGTCCCCATATCAGTTCCACTTAAAATTTTATGGCAACCAACTATTCTCAAAGCTAGCAAGAACTTGAAAGAAACATGCCCCTTCAATGATGAAGACCACACAGAGTTACAGTGTTCACACAGTGCTGTTGAAGCTCTATTTCATAACATAAAAACTTATGTTATTTAATCTACAGAGATGTACACAGCTGGACCCTCATAATATTATGAAGCCCGCATCAAATCTACCTGGGATCCATCTGCATATACCTATTTAAAATGTCTCTACAGTGTGTTAAGTGCAATACTAATGAGACACAGCATAACAGATTTTAGATCTAGGTACCCCTAATTAAATTGTGAAAACAGTATTTGACTGTAAATTTGTAAAACTGACTGGTGAGAAACATTAAATGTCAAGGCTACTTTGAACAACGGAGATCCATAAAGATACATTTCTTGTAAACTTGTATTTTCAAAGCATTATTCTCCAGATAGAGAAAGTATCCACAGCTTTTAATATAACATTGCAATCTAGAAGAAGTATCTTCTTAAAAAAAACAAAACAATCTTTCTCAAAAATAACCTAAAGTCACAAGTAAGGAAACCTAATTCTTTATAAACTGCATGGAAGCTACTTCAAAAAGTTACATGTGTTCCTCTGCAAGAAAGGAAACAGGAAGGCAGGAGAAGGAGCCACAATAAAAGAGTAAATAACTATAGTATATTCCCCAAATACAAAAGGTCAGCGGAATTGAAGTGTTATGCTCTAGAGGATGGAAATTCACTCCAAGTAGAACTAGACAGATAAAATACAAGTTGGGTAAGAGGCAGGCCAAAAGGAAAGAAGAGCAGACAGCAAAGGATATGAAAATAAGTACTATACTATTAGTATATCAGAAGCAGGAAGCTTTCAGGGAATCACTGGATTTGCTAGAGCTGGGACTGAATAGAGCACTTGAAGATGATTCATGATGATCCAAATTATGTCTTTACATCTGCCTTTGTCATGGAAAATGTTGGGAAAACGCATACCTGACTTTTCTGATAAAGAAATGAACATTTCTTCAAACTGCAAAATCCAAAGGGGTGAAGAGACACAATAAATTGAAAGCAACAAACGATGAGGGATGAGTTCCTGTCCCACTCATGTTGACAGGTGTTTTACCATTGATTTTAGCACTGACAAGCTTTTACTTCAGAACTGAACAGCAAACGGACAAACAGACCAACAGCTTCAAAAAATGACAAGGCTGAGCTGGGCATCACAGTGGTGCACAAGAGCAATCAAAATAGTAAAATAGAAAAAGAATGAGATTAGGAAAATATCCAATATCTTCTCGAGTATCTATTCCACTTAAGAGTTCCTCCTCAGAACCAGTGACAGTGGCATAGCACGAGTTTGACAACAATCAAAAATTATTATGGAAGAAAACCTAAAAAGATGGAATGAACCAGGAAGTTAGCTTAGCAAACAGATGAATAAGAGGGAACACTGCAAAGAATACTATGAGATATAAGTAAACAGGATGCTCTTCAAACCAAGTTTTCTTATACTAAAGCAAACGGAGAATTGGAGCAATAAAAAATTACCAAGTCAGAAAGACTGAACTGTTTTACTGCATAAGCCACAAAACTGTGTCATTAATTTACAAGCACATCTCCATGATAATAGCAAGGAATACTCTTTTGTGCTTTTGCTATTGCTTTTCTTTCTTGTTTATACCCATACAAAAAAAATTAGTGACATGGCAATAAACACAGACATTCAGAACAACTGATTTAAGGGAACATGCCTTCCCCTTTCTCTTGCCCTAATGCATGAAACGTTTTAGGTTGAGATACTCCATGGGAGGCAAGATGAGGAATGGAGCATGGCTGCAGCAAGCCTGTGGACAGCTACTAGAGATGTCCAAGCACACGCTCAAATTGCAGGGCGATGCCTGTTCTGTGCTAGAACCTACACATGTAACGCAGGTGGTGATGGCTCAGAAAGCTGCCAGCTGCTGGCACTGATATATTTGGTCCCAATCTAGAATTAAGACAGAAGCACTAAACTATCAATGTGTGAAATGCCTGACTTAAATTACAAGGTAGGGCCATCCAAGGAGTCTCTTGCATAATTCATGACACTTCAGAACTTCACATATAAATCAAATACAAGGAAAGTCTATGATTTCTGCTCTGTTGAGCACAGATCCATGCACAACTTTGGTAACGGTTGCACAAACAAGCTCTCTAGAAAATACAGTATTACAGACATGATCTTCACAATGCTCATTCACACAGTTCCACAAGTAATTTCAGCACAATACCTTTAAATGGACTTTTCTATGAAAAACTACTCATAAGTCTCAAGAATACAGAGGTTACTAAAAATAACAAAACCAATCTGGTTTGAGGGTGTGTGTTTCTGTTTTCCTAATGAATGCTTACAAACACTCTTTTGCATTTTTTTTTCTATATTGGACTTAGTCAAATTTTATTCTATGATCCATGGGCTTGCTATTAATCATTTCATCTGTCTAATACCATAGAAAAAGAAACTACAGACTCTGCAAAGCTTCCATGCTTCCTAAAAAGCTCCAAACCCACCAAGATTATGTTCTCCAAGCTCAATGATAAACTTGGACCAATTTTCAACTTTGAAATGGTGAGTAAGTCTGATACAAATTATGTGCAAAACTGTTCAGTGTAGCGTAAGAATTAATGCTATCAATAAAAACACGTGTAAGTGGAAACATACTGCTTTAGAAATAACCTTGACTTACTGTGGCTGTGCCGGAGACAGTTTGTGCATTTGTGTCAGCTGCACTCTGTTCGGAGTGTGTCTGAGCAGAAGGGTACATGTTTAACGTGTGCTCTGGAACAGTGGTTTGGCCTGTGTAGTCTGGAGCTGGATGAGGATGTGGGGCTGTGTATTCTGCAGGGATACCATTCTGAGGTGGCGCAAACTGGGCTGAGGCATAAGGCTGTGCCATTGTGTCAGGAGGTGCTGTAGCTTCCTGATTACCCTGTAAAAATCAAAGGAAAAAAAAGGAAGAAGAAATGTGACATGAGATAAAATAAGCGATTATCCTGCACAGGTAACACAGAAAGTGATGGCACTGTTCTGTTAAGACTGCTGGCCTGAAAAGGGCACAATGGTTGTTTCTTGAAGAGAAAATTTCTTATCTGAATTAAATCCATTTTGCTAACCCTATTAAATCTCATTATATTTAGACAAAAAAATCTGCTGTTCTCTGGATAATTGTAGACTATTCTTCAACTGGGAAAGGTCAATGCCTCAACTCGGGACAATGAAGAGGGACAAAGCTCAGTTTATTCCAGAGGATACCGAGTACAACTGCCAATGCAGGGCTCTGACAAGGCTAGCCCATGGTCTGCGATCCATCCTGACTTGCCATATGCATAACACAATACATACAATCTACACACAGAGCAGGATCTGGATGAATACTGTTAACATAACTGTATACTGAAAGTATTTATATGAAATAATGTTCTATGAGATATTTAGAAATACTCTCATGTACACTGTATTGAACAACTGCATGCTACAAATGCAAAAAAAAAAAGAGATCCAATCAAAACTTTAAACATTTGAATCTAAAAATGAATTAGAGACAAAAAAAATAAGATTTAAATTAAGATAAAAATCTTTAAAGAAAAATTCTATGTCGTATGCTGTCAAAAGAAATAGATTTAAAAATTTTAAAAGCTTTAAATATGAAGATAATTGTATTTCATTTGCATATTGCAATTAAAAACAAATGCCCTCATCTTTTTTTAGGTAGACCCATCTTTCTGTCTGATGGATAGTTGAGCATGTTCATTTATCAATCAGTGACTTCTGACTCAATGCTCTGCTCATACCACACAGTAATAACTCTAGGAGAAGAAATGTATACAATAGTCTTTCAGAACCTGCATAAAAGATATCCAAAACATGATGCTGTAGATTATACAGCATTAAAGGTCATTAATACAGGGACAATCCCAAACTCAAGATAAGCTGATATACAAGATAAAATTATCCCTCTAACTATCAAGCAGTGTAAAAATGAATATTTGAGTAAAAGTTCAATCATTTTTTAAAATACTATGTTATTAGTCCACCAAAGCATGCACAAGTACTTGCAGAGGACTACCGTAAGGCTTTTGCTTATTTGTACTCAACAGACCTTGATTTCCTCATTTAAAAATAGGCTGGCTAAATAAAAGACATTCTTTTACATTTCATATTTAAGAATATTTTCAGCCAATTTCAGGTAATTCAGACATCAGTTCTCTGATGTGACTGGTCCTAAACTCAAGAGTTTTTAAGAATTTGCAAAATCACAGCACAGGAATACAGCTTTGTACATGGCAGGTTTAGAAGGGAAAAATAAATTTTCCTTTGTAAAAGGCATTTAGCGTGCCCTAAAAAATTAAAACTTTATATCAGCAACCAAACCCTCCCTAATTTTATTACCATCTTTGCTGCTATTTCAGTGTTTGGTCTTGAGCAAGTAGTTTACTTTGCTTTATTCAGCCATCTTTAAAATGAAAACAGTGACATTTACCTCCTTCGCAGGGTTAGGTCACTAAGGTTCATTTGCATACATCTACAAGCATTTCAAGGTTAATGCTACACTGAAAATTGCCCTTTTTAGCTTTCAGTGGAGGTCAAAAAACTCTTGTAAACGCATACTTATACCCCCTTATATTAAAATGACAAGGTCCCTTTTCTTGTTTCTTTTACCTAACATTTTCACTATTTAAAAAAACAAAAAAAATCCAGATGAAGTTAAACCCAGCAATGACTGGATTACACAAGAGACATTTATTAAATGTTAAAGAAGTATTTTTAAAACTTGTGAAGAAGGCGGGTGACCTTAAATTTTTTAATCAACTGTTTCAGGAAGGACTTCAGCAAGGAGTAAGAATGAGCAACAGCAAACCAAACTTCTGCCTATATAAGCATTTTCACTGTGCTGGCTTTGAAACATGGTAGCTGATTACTGCTGGTCCTTAAGATATCCCTTCATGTCAAATGTTAAACATGGCATTAGAGTCAGCAGCTGTTAAAAAAGAACAATAATGGCAACAAAGGAACCAAGGGCTAATGTCCAGGTGCACTTGATCTAAAGGTTTTTATACTACTCAAGTCCTAAACCAGATGTTGCTGAGCCCCCCTACTGTTTCTCATTAACCTTGACAGCAGTTCCATGAGACCCTAATTCGTATTCAAAGCATTCATACTCAGTGCTAATTACAGCTAATATTTAATTAAGAGGGTTGAACTTTTATATTAGTTTTACCAGCAAACTCCAAACAATTCACTTCTTAGATTTATCGTGAAAGGGCAAACTGTGCTGGCAGTTCCAGCACCTTCACAGCGCTGAGACTCTTCTGCCTCTTTTATTAGACTTGTTAAGCTGAGGTCTTGATCACTTATTTATACCTGAGATCTCATTAATAAGTCAACACTGAAGGGTGAGGGGTTGGTTTGGTTTTGTCTGGATTTTGGATTTTGGTTTGGTTCATTTGTTTGGTTTATGTACATGCAACTTCTAGGTACTTTGGCATTTACAGCCTTGCCATTAAACAAGCACATAAACCTCACCATTTTTAGAGTAGAAAACTGGCATGCAAGATCTCTACTTGCATTGCATGGTCATTAAATTGTCTGCTTTTTTGGGGGGAGAGAGAAGTGGGAGGAAAGAATGGAAACACAAAATTATACTTGCACACTCTACTGTGGGCCTCAAGTTTAAAATGATAACAAATCTGAGTTGTTAATCTCTTAAAATCAGTGTCTACTGTATCCTTTCTTTGCCTTTAAAAATCTGTGTAAATTTATGATTCACAATTGATTAAATAAACACAGTATTACAATGAAGTATAAAAGCATGTATGTATAAACATATTCTCCACTACTTACATGGGTATCAAGCCAATAGCTTATTGTTGAGAATATGAATTTATATCAAGAACAATGCAGTGTCAGCTAGATACACATTTGTATATACATGTGGTTAATGGAAATCCCAGACTACACAACAGTCAGATACATTTGAGTAGATTTTAAAGAATCTTTAAATACAATCACCTAAAATGTCCCTTTGTTGTGTTCCTTAAAATTCAGTGAACTTAAATAAATGGAATGATAGATTGAATGCATTAAGATGAAAATACCAAACAGCCCTAAAATCAACAGGAAATATTGAGGTTAAATTAGCCTATGAACTCAGGTATCAGAGTAATCTCCAAACTGTGGGTGACAGTACACAGACATTGCTTAATACAACCTAGGCATGAGAAGCTAAACAGAAGTTGCCCCTTCAGACTCAGTTTCAAGTATCTTTAAGATTAAATGATCCCTTAATGCTCACTTTGTGCATTAAAAAAAAAAAAAAAAGTAGTTGTTGGCAACAGAAAGAAGAACAAAGGATGGCAGACAGTCAGGCTCTGCTAAATGTTCTGGCCCGAGTTTTAATGAAAACCACATTTCAACTGAAAAATATGCTTTACGTGGCAGTGTATAAAATCTGATTTATTGCTTTCTGGTTAAATGTTGAACTCTAAAGAACAAAAAAGAAAGGATTCCAATGATGCAGGTAAGTGAAGGCGCTCCTATTCCATATATATTAACTCTACTTGAAGAAAAGCTTAGAATTTAGAAAATGCTCCTAGTATCTCAGATCTCAACATGCCTTTTCAGCATCTTCTGCTCTGAAAGGATTTCATAATTAAGAAACGCATGAAAAGTGTCAAAACATAATAAAGAAAGCTTGTTGTATTTGTACACAAAAGACAGAACACAGAAAACATTACTTATGCAGTGTTCCACATTTGCAGCATAAAAATCTATTCAATGAAAACCTTTCTGCTTGCCTGCATTTTAAAGTCTAACTAACAGTTTATTGTTTGTTTTATTCTATTTTCTGTTTGGTGCGTTCTGTTTCTTTGGCAAGAGACATTTCACATTTAGAGAAAGCCTCTCATAGTGTAGTTAAATGAGCCAAACTGCATAGTATCCTTAGGGCACGGAAACAAGAAAAATGCAACACTGCTCTGTAAACCTGCTGGTTATAAGAACGGCTCCGTTAGATATATCAAGCATAACAGATACATAATCATCGCCATTGTTTGCTCTCCTTCAGACTTAACCAATAAAACATGTATTAGAAGACTTGCATGCAGTGGTGCAGCTGGTTACAAGAAATGCCCTGGCTTGACTAAAATCATGAGTTTCAAGTGAAAATAAAAGTGAAAATACCTGCTGTACCATCCTGCTCCCTTTATGCTCCATAAACTTAGCAGCTGCTCTAGTCCCAGGCCATACAGCATCTGCCCAAAGCAAGCATCAATTACAGATGAGGGTGTGTGAGCAATGCAATGTGTGCCTGAGTGTGGATGATAGGGGTGTCGAAGGAGGGGGAGCTAACGCCAGGCTTACTGACCTCCCTCTCAACATCTGACTGCTCCCAAAACCTAATCCAGATGGGACTCTTTCAGTTTGCTGGGCCTCGCCCCATCAATCACAGCAGGCCACTCCTCTGTCTCCTGCTACTAGTTACAGAGTGCACCACTGAGCAGATGATTACAGAAGGAAGAAAAAACACAGCTTGACTACATTAATACCTGTTTAAAAACATCAGAAATGCTATTATGTATGATGCCAGAAGCTGAACATTTTTGCTTTAAAATTAAGATAGCTGTATTCAAAGTTACAACCCCTGCTAAACAGCCAGTGCTTTGGCTTTTTGATAGCCACGATGTACAGCAACATGTGTGTGTTTCTATGTGATTAATTCGTCTGACATGTGGTAGAGAAAATACCAATAAGTTTTCTATTTTAAAACTGCTGAACTCCACAAGTAAACCATTAATACTGAACTAGCCTGGTTTAGATTAAATGTACGTTATCCTTCCATACAAATGAAATATTGTTTCTTTTTTTGTTTCATTTCATGACATCCCTCTTGCTTAGCAGGGAAATATTTCAGAAATGCTTCCAAGGCTTACT